CTGAGGTGTCTTATAGGGGTACAGGTGAATCTTTCTAAGAGTAGAATGTGAACGTTTTAAAGCAATAACTGAGAAAATGACATGAAGGCTGTGTTGAGCAGTTTGATGGAAGTATTTCAGATTGCATGTGAAAACCCCACACTGTACCCCAGAAGAAGTGCATTAATGTACACAGTTACCATTCAATAAAAAAAAAAATACAAGGCTGAATTTGTTTGATTAAGTTTTTCTCTGAAGAAGTTTGGTTCATTTAAGTCAGTGAGTCAGTCTTTGATGCATTTAAGGGCATAATTTAATACTGGATTTATACCACATGTTCTGACATTTTGTATTCCTAACACTTCAATATAACATGTCAATAAAATTATACTAAGTAATATTCCCCTTCACATGTACACAGAAACCATAAATTTACCAACTGTTTCAACACAATTGTTGTTTTATCAAAAATTATTGAAATTACTAAAAGGAAACTACTAAAATCCTGGACATACAATGAATAGAGTAACTAGAAATTATCAAATACTAAAATAACAAGCATATTGATAACTTCTAGTTTCAGTATGTTAAGGGTCTGATTTTTAAAGCTGGAAAAAATAGAGTTCCTAATTTAATCAATACCCAAGATATTTTCCTATGTATCGATTAAAATTACCCTTAATGTGTAAATTTCTAAACAATTATTTTTCTCTTGTGTCCCTAAATAGTACGTACTTTCATTTTATTTTCATTTTAAATATTTGTTTTTGTTGTTATTAAATCTCAAGATGAACAAATGCATATTTAATGTGTAATGTTAATTAATCATAATGCTCTAGGTAGAAATGTTTTTCTACTTGAATCAGTATTTCATTTTTGGATGATAACAGATGGAATACAATTAAAAGTAAAAAGTCTATTAATTATTATTTTTTTCAATAATGGAAAGAATATGGTATCTCAAGAAATAGCTCATGTATACAGGAGCCTGAGGCAAAAAAGATGTCTTGAGCCTAGGAGTTTGAGGTTGCTGTGAACTATGACACCTTGGCATTCTAGCCTGGGGCAACAGAATGCGACTCTGCCTCAAAAAAGAAAAGAAAAGAAATAGCACATTAATAAAATTTATAAAGTTGGTTTGATCATTTCAAGAAAATTTACCTTCATTATCTCATAATGATTCTAAGTTTTATAAAAATATACACAGAATAGTGTATGTTGAAGAGATGGAGAAAATTACATATCTCTCTTAAGAGTGGAGAGAGCTAACTGCAAGAAATTTACACCAAAACAATAACTTACCTAAAGTTTCCATCAGTTTCAAAGTGGTTTTTCACATTCACAGTGAATTCTTTCCATTGATAACATGGAGATGTGCATTTTATAACTTCCTAAGGTAAGGTAAAAATAAATCATATAACATGATAATAAAAAATGGATATTCTAAATTATAAAATAAAAAATCTATAAACCATCCCGTAAAATTTTACCCTGGCTATATAATTCCCCTTTTCCTGCAAACATTGTACTGCTAAAATCTGGGTGAGAAAGAAAAAAAATACATATACTCCATCACTGATCAATAGTACTATACTAATAACTAAACTGTTCATCAAAATAGGTTTTCCCAAATTGAATTTCTTAAAATTAGTTTTTTTAAATGACTTAACATGATTCTCATTTGCAAATTATTCAGCCTCACATGTCTAATGCACATAACATAAGAGACAGGTGTGTGTGCTCATGAATATCTGCGTGTGGGAGTGTTGGTGAGTGTGGCATGACTACATAGATAATGCCTGTGCTTATAATTGTTATTATAATAAAAGCACAGGTATAAAATGAAAATTTTGAATCATCCAAAAGAAATCAATAAAGGAAAAATTCCTAGGAATTCTACAGTTTTAGACTGATCATCTTCTTGCCTTATTTTATTTCTCCATTATTATCAAATCTATTTCCTGGTAACTTAAGACCAGGAGTGAGCAGAGAGAGAAACAGAGTTGCATGAGCTTTATGTGTCAGATTTTCTGTCCCAGGATACCTTAAAATAATGTCTTATTTCAGAGAATTTGTATGAGAGAGCTATAAAGTTTAAGTATTCATTATTCTGGAGGATATCAGAAGATCACAATATACATCTCAGTGACAAATGCCCATTTCCTGTCTGGGCATCACTGTCTAATAAGCCAGACTGTCCATGTGAGTATCTTGAGGTTTCCTCATTCGACTGGCCCCATTCAACCCTTCTCTACAGTCATTGTCTATTTCCCACTCTTACCCTGCATACCTAAAATTATTTATAGTCCATGTGGTAACCTGGCAATATACTGAATTTACTTCTTTACTGTACATTCACGGTAGAAAACAAAATCTAGGCAAGATAATTGTCATAAAAATCAATTCACAATTCAACAATATCACAACCATTTTACAGGGAATTAAAAATCCCTCTTTTCCATCCTTTGAGATACAAAGACTTAGAATTTGGTCTGGAACACCATCACCTCTCAATAGATGGCAGAATTAGCACTATCCTTATAATGAATTTGTTCCACACTACACTGAAGATAAACAGATGAATTTTCCTATCAGAGTAAAGTCCTTTTTACTATATACTTTACTTACTGTATTTACTTTACTATACTGTATACTTTCATTTTGTCCAAACAACAACAACAACAAAAAAAAAAAACAGACACAGGCCTAGGACTGCTTTAATTTAAATCCCAAATCTCTCAGAAGGATCATACTCAAAAATAATTGGCGTGCAGAGATAAAATGTAGAACAACAGCCATACCATGGTGACACTCCCAGTCTCAGATGGGAAAAAACCACAGACAAGATAGATAAAATTTACTTACAATGGCTTTGAAATCAACAACTTCACCCTTTAGGGCAAAAGTCATAGCAGTTCCTCCAAACGCATTCTTACTTTTTGAAATTAATATCAATGAAGCCTCAGCAGGGTGAAGAAAACGACTGGTGAATTTCAGACTAAGATTAATTTGGCTTCTGTTTGATAAAAGATAAAAGAGGAAACATTGTATCAAGAAAAAGACAACTAATAAGCCTGTTTTCTGTGTAGACCTGGTGTCCAGTACCTAAACCCTGACATGTACTCACTTCTACAATAAAATGAAAGATGGCTACAGTCCTCAAGAAGTCTCTGATCTAGTTTTTGTCATCAAGATATCTTAATACACAATAAATCTAAAGTTAACTTCCAAATATATAATCTCTCAAATAAAGGATTTTCTAATAATAAGCTATAGGAAATCTGTTTCATAGAACATTCTGTGCTACCATTTAGGTAAATGATTAATCATGCCACTGGTGTTTGGTTACATGGGAAAAATATTGAAAATTAAGAATTTTAAAAAATACATAAAGCCATTATTGAAAATATCATTCAAAACTCAAAACCAAGGCCAGACAAGGTGGCTTATGCCTATAATCCTTGGGAGGCCAAGGTGGAAGGAATACTTGAGCTCAAGAGTTTAAGAGCAGCCTAAGCAAGAGCGAGACCTCTGTCTCTACTAAAAATAGAAAAACTGAGGTAAGAGGATCACTTGAGGCGAGAGTTTGAGGTTGCTGTGAGCTCTGACACCATGGGACCCTACCGAGAAAATCAATTTGTGGGGAAAAATTGCAGTTCACATCTAGCAGGAATGGGGATGATTTTTAGTCAGATATGTATCCTCCCCAATCTCCTCGATTCATGTAAAAGGAGCATTATGAAAAACTTACGGTCTTGAATTTGAGAACAACAAAAATTTTACCTTGAGGTCTTGAGGAAAACAGGCTCAAATTCTATGTTAGGATACTTATGAGTGATTTAGCATTTTTCGGGATATTCTCAAAGTTATCATTAGATACAACCATTCACTCATTCATTCACTTCATGTTTATAAAGGACTTAAAATGTTCCAAGCACTATTTTAGGTTTTAAGGATGCAGTATTTAGGGGAAAAAAATAACCTATTCCTAATCTCCTGGATTCTATAGGACTTAGTGGATATTAATTACATCATTACAAAATAAGGTGAAAAATTACAAATTATGCATGTGCCAAGAAGTGATATGAGAGCTTATAATGAGGACTGTGATGTGGTCTGAAGGGTCAGAGGAAGTGATAAGTTAGGTGGGATGTGAAGGACAGGAAAGAGTTAGCAACATTGATCAGAGGAAGAAAGAAGACATCTAGGAATTCTTGTAAGGAAAATTATGTGTTTGAAAACTGAGCAAAGGCCAGTAGTTCCGAGGCTTAGAGAGCAAATAGGTTATGGATATAAGATGTAACTAAGAGATAGCCATGAAAGGCCACATGGACATTTTTGAAATATGCAATCTATATTCTAATGGTGATGAGAAGTTATTGGAATATTTAAAGCAGAAAAATACTGTGTTCAAATTTGCATTAAAAATAGTTTTCCTTCTAATATAAAGGATAGACTGCAAAGAAGCCTTTTATGACTGAAGCAGCCTAGTATAAAGATGACGTCAAATTAAATTGAGGTGGAAGAGGTGGGTAAGAGAAAAGATACCAATTTTACAGTACATGTGGTGAAATCAGTAGAACCTGATAATGGATTGAATCTCCATAGAAGTTGATGGAAAAAGAAGTGTTCAAGAATGACCATAATCTGGCTCGGTGCCTGTGGCTCAAGTGGCTAAGGCGCCAGCCACATACACCTAAGGTGGCG